CCCCCAATTATCGACCACCTAAGATAGCTCGGCGCGCGAGCTTGCTTGTTCCAAAACCAATGCCGCCCTCCCACCGCTTGGTTTCTGTTCCTACTTGTCTCTCGGTCCCATTCCACCCCCCCGCAAACAAACCTCTACCAAAAACTTGGGAAACCGGTACGTAAGGTCGGCTCGCGAATATGTCTCTCAGCCAGCGAGTACCACCAAGAGACCTGGCAGCCTTCCTGGACAGTAGCATCACTGGTGTCGGCGCTGGTGGCCCACATGACAGAGGCCGCGGTCGAGATCGGCGCCGTCAGGGGCGCGACGCCGTCCCAGAAGCGAAAGGCGGCCGTCAAGTCACGCAGCTTTGTGTGCGCCGCCTGCGGGTGCTGCCACGATGCGTTCCCAGAGGACAGGTTTCCGATACCAAAGGGTTTCGATAAGGGGAAGAAGGCGGGTGCGGGGGCTGATGGGTCGGCGGGGGCTCGGCGAGAGGCACGGGTGGCGGTGGGAGTGGGGGAGGCGCCGGCAGCGGCGACTAGGGGAGGCTTGACGGGGCGGAGTAGGTTGTCGTGGACGGTGCGGCTGATGACCAGCAAGCCGTTCTTGCTCGCCTTGACCTTGATTATTGCCAGCGTCTTCCTGAATCAGCCTAGACATAGCTGATCCATGCTTACTCGATATCGTGTTGACGTCCAACTATATGCTGGTGAAGGTGTAGACTATGAGCTATTCTGACAAGTCATGGGCCATGGCCCCGTTGTAGCCCACCCAAGCTCACATCCCGCTGAACGGGGGAGGGGTTGCTCAGCTTTGCCGCCTTGAGCACCTACCTCAAGGGTCGGCACAAGATGTGTGCTGCACCCTCCAGTACCACCTACATCTTACAATGTAGACTGCACGAACCCCGTAGAGATAGACGACTACCCCAGTATTTTGTCGATGGTTTGCTGGTGCTTCTGTGGCACAAGACGTCGATCGTGCACAAGAATGACCCTGCAGATGTCACGGAGATCGCGTCAAATATCTTCTGTCGCTCCGTGTCCCTCCGCGCTGTCCAACCTACAGGCGAAATGCTGCTTTTCATTTTTCATCGTTTTGCTTGCCCTGACACTGCAGCCCATCGAGCTCTGAGCTGGTAAAACGAGACGCCTGGGAACATCGTGGGAAGCCCCAATGACGTCCCTTGCTCACGATACCTCGTTGGCCCTGAGAGTAGTAGCCTAGACTCGCCACTTTTTTCGTGTTTTTACCCAACAGCAGAAAATCTGACGTGTATGCCTAGAAGAACTGGTGGCCCCGGTGATGGCCTATGCTGTACCGCGCTTAGTCTACCGGTAGGGGGCTTGTGCAGGTGGAAGACGTCAAAATCTCGTCCAGATGCGCTTGTCCGCGTTTCGTACACTGTCAGTAAAAAACCGCTTGCTCGTGGTGAATGTACCGGGTGTATGTAGGAAGAAATTGCTGTCCATCCTTCTTGTTTCTGGCGCTACAAAATCGATGTATGTTCCTTACACCCCTTTTCGTGCGACCCTGTGGCTGGGAGAGACACGAGACCGAGACAGGACGAGTAAGCAATGGCAATAGCATGCAGGAGGCGACGGTTTGATACAGCAGCCAGCTTCCGGAAACGATGAGTAGACTACCGTATTCTACACAAGATACCACACCCTCATAAGATACCACACCCCCCCCACAATACCACACCCCGGTGGTAATTTTGGGTGTATTTTTCAGACCATGATTTATCACCGGGGGTACACAAGATACCACACCCCGGTGATAACACAGGTTACGCCGCATACATTCCCTGTCTCTATCACCGGGGGTGAAACAGCATCACACACGCACAGCTTGTACCGTACGGGGGGAGACATGGAGACCTCAGAGAACATGAACGTGCGGGAAGAGCAGAATGCCGCCGCAAGTACATCTGCTTCTCCCACGACTGCTTCGACCGCAGCAGCACAGGCGCCACAGATCACCTCGTTCTTTCAACCCGAGCAGACTTCTACGCAAGCGGCACACCCCCTGTTTATCACACACCCGAACACACTCTTTGGGTGTTCCGACGTGTTATCACACCCCATTTTATCACACCCCCTTTTTTATCCCACTCCCAAACCCTCCCTGTGGGTGGTCGCATGTGCTACCACACCCCCTGGTTTATCACACCCCCTGAGGAGCTCCTGCGAGCTAGGCTTTATCACCGGGGTACACAAGATACCACACCCCCCCCACAATACCACACCCGGTGATAATATTTTTGAAGCCCAAAATGTTATCACCGGGGTGTGGTATCTTGTGTAGAATACGGTATNAATATTTTTGAAGCCCAAAATGTTATCACCGGGGTGTGGTATCTTGCGTAGAATACGGTAGTTTCCCCAAAAATTCACACACGTAGATAACGGCCGCCCGGCGGATCCATCTCCATCCATCCCCGTTCGTAGTCATTCAGGATAATGATTTCTTCAGAAAGATCATCATCAGAAGACACACCATGCCCCCAAGATTTCCTGAGGTGCCATCCTCGAACTCACCGTGGATGACGCCATCCACCAAACAAACAAGGATCTTGGGTCATCGTGCCTGGTTTTATTTTGGAATTTTCGAGATTCCGCCGCGTTTTTTTTTACCAACCAGCGAACTGCGTGCCACAAATGGCGTTGCACAAGCAAGAGCAGATGAATCGAGTACCACACATGGCCGCGCCACGTGTCCCTTTGCGGATAGCTGGACGCGCCAAGAGATGATAGAGATGTAAAGCTCTACAGAGCCAGTGTAGTTGGTGGCTCCGCGAAATCTAATGTGCGGGATATCCATACACCCAGTCTGAATCATTCCGACATCTGCGGAATCCCGTAGATCCACGTTTCAACCGACCAGCGACCGGCGCAGCCGAGTTTCGGAGAGCGACATTCAAGCACGTGCGAACGGCTCAGGGCGCCCCAAGATCTGCACCTTGTGCCAGCCAAGGGCGTGCTGCCGAGTGGGCGCGGAGGTAGATTGTGCAAGAACGAGAGTCGTCACGAACGAGGACTATTGAAGATGCGGGGTCGGCGAGTCTCGCTGGGGGTTGTTGTCCTGGGGTGGAGTCCATCAGTGCAAGCCTTCGTTGCACCGTCGATTCCCGAGGCATCGTCTGCGAAATGCGTACCGCTGTCGACGCCAGCAGTCAAGAGCGGCAGGTGCGGGCAGGGCATAGCAGTTGACAAAGGAGCAAGACCGAGAGAGTGTTACTACACCCGCGTTTGGCCAACGAACGTCATGTTTTTCTTGCGGAGCTATCCAGAGTTGGCTGCTGCGACCCCGTGTATGCAGCATAAGTTATCCTCAGCAGCGTGAGGGGGTCCTGTAGCCCGCAAACTCGTGTTACACATTTGTTGGACCCGACCTGTGCAACACAAGGACTCGTGGCCTTGTTTATTCGGCAGTGTTGGGGGGCTCGCTCCGCTTGGCACAAGTTTGCAGCGTCCCCCCGATTGCTGCTGCTGCTGCCGTACCAAGCATGGGTGGACGGACCAAACAAAATGCGGGAAAACCTTGGCTACAAACGACACACCCTCCTAATATTGTCACGAACAAAAATAATTTGTGCACACCGCCCGTGCGTAGCGTGCGCGCATGCTTCCGTCAAGAAGGACTGCAGTTGTTCCGCCGCCACACATCTCACTCTCTCTCTCTCTCGTCCTACACCACACACCGACCCATGGGGTATTGTCACCGCCGCCTTGCACACCATTTCTTTCACTGCTGTTGGATCTGTTGGAAGTAGATCTTGCAGTATGAGGGGCTCCCTCCCCTCCTGGAAACATGTGTCTGGTGCACACGCTCTTGTGCTGTTCTCTCACATGCACGTGTGTGTGGGGCTGCCTACCGCGAGGACGTTACGCTTATTTAAGCATGAAGTACAGCAAAGGCAGGAGTTACGTAGCCCCTATCCCTAACACCCGAGCTCCACAGATTCCATACTTGATGCAACATGTTATAGCATAGCTTCATCGACATCTGCGTTACAGGCAACCTGCGCTTGCACTCGGGACCGCACGCCGAAAAAATGGCGACCAGCGCGCATGCGTACACAACCAACGGCGTCACGTAAAAGAGTGCTCAATTTTGCCCGCAACCATGTCCACCCTACCAGCGATGGCAGCAGCAGCAGAAGCAGCATGAGCAATAGCGGGAGCGCCATCGGCATGAGCCGCCGACGGGCTGCTCTGGCCGCATCAACATCGGTCCTGAAGATGAGCGGCGAGGACGAAGCGGCGGAGGAATACGGGGACCCCGCGGCAGAAGTTGAGGTAGTTGCCGCTGACAAAAGGAAGGACGCGGGCGTGCTGGCGGCGACGGGAGCGACGGGGGCGATCGTGGGGTGGAGCTTGGGGCACTCCCTAGGGCTGGACATGATGGGAATGTTCGCAGGTACTAAATTTTTTTTCCGTCTTAGTACTCTTCACTCTTTTTAGGCGATGTGCTTCATTCAGACAACAACCACAAACCAGCGCACTTTTTGGTTTGTTTTATGTTTTTTATGATTGCTCTAAATCAGTTTTTTGGGGTAGGTGGCTTGCCACGGAAGGAAGGCGTCCGCTTCAGTAAGAGCAGTACGGATATTAGAAGGTACTGAGCGGAGACCGGAACGGTTTTGAGTGTAAGACGGCAACATCAACGAACAACAATAAATCAGAGCTTGCTGCTGGGCATCGGCTTCAATCCGTGCTCACTTCTCACATGGAAGGTGAAGGTTTCTCTCCCTGAGGCGAACCTACACCCACCCCTCCTGCTACGCCTGCCCCAAACGGAGAACATAATATTTCATAGCTGGCTAAATATGAGTGATTGTGCTGATGTACATGGTTTGATTTATTGATTACTCGTACGTGTGGTGTGTGTGTTCATCCCAACTACGCTGGCGCTAGTAGATCATATGTGCATGACGGAAAATTCTTCTTTTTTTGGAGGAGCAGGCGAGAAGAGGGATTGGGTGGTGTACAGGTCGCAACGAGGTTAGTCTTAGGCAAAAGCACAGCGTTGCCCTTGGATATGCTTCTTTTTACGCCCACAAAGACAGGTCACGCGCAACACACTAAAAACCTTTTTCCAACAGTGCGATCCGTTGACTTTCACATAATATAGGTTGGGTTAGGGCGGTTTAGGGTTGGGAGTTTAGCGCACAGCAGCAACACACCTCTCTAGCTACACATTTCCCGGTCTCATGACAAGCCTACAACAACGCGCTTCCCCACCTACTGGTTTTCAGGTCGCAAGACTATGCTACGACACCTTAAACGGGCAATAAAAAGACTGCTGTATACAGATTTGTGAGATTTCACTACCAAGAATTATCGGAATAGTTTTCCCGCCGAGAAGTTGCATGTCGGTGCTTCTCTCTAGGGACATGGATGGTCGCAGTCTGGGGGTGTCTCTGGGGGGCACCGTAGGTTGCATGGGACATGACTCCCCCTAGACCGATCTCTAAGCTGAACTACTCTGCAGCACAAACAGTGCGAGCACAAACAGTGCGGTGCCCCCGAAAATGGCGGCGTTGGAACAGACTCGTCGATGGCTTTCCGAAGACACATCTCTTTGACTGCTGTGGCATTCTTTCTCGTTGTCGTGGAGTGATGGAGCATTATGATCGGTCCGGGAGGTGTGGGGCCTTATGCAACCTGCTGGGGGCTCGTGCAGCCGTCGGGATCACCAAGATGTTCGGAAAGGGCTCTCTCGCCGAAAAAGAACTTACCTCCGAACATCGGAAGAAATCTTAACCTTCGTGGATCGTGCTTCTTACGCCGCTCGGACGGACACCGAGAAACATCGTAGTGCCTCCTCCTGCCTGGCACACCCTGCTCCTCCACCAATTCGTGTTTTTTTCGCAGGCTGTCTGGCAGCGGTAGGGCTTTTGGCGCAGGAGGGCACGATTGGGCAAACGACCGCGAAGGTCGGCGAGTTCGCCCTCGGCGCGTTCGAAGTGGTTAGCACCGTAGCTACGAGCACCAACGTCCCCGCAAAGGTGGCCAGCTCCGTCGGAGAGGAGTTCCTCGAGGTGGTAGAATTTACCTCGGGTGCGGTCACAAAGGTGGGGGGTGTATTATTTATTCACTTGTTTTTGTAGGCAGCGCCTTTCTAGAGTTTGTATCAAGTACTTTGTGTAGCACGCGCCGTCACTGGAGGAGAGGCGGGACTAAAAAATTGACAGAAACTCTTGTGTAGTCCGGGTGATACTCCAACTTGGACACCAAGAGACGTGTTCACTGGCAGCCAGAATAGATAGATGGGGCGAACACACACACGCACTTGAGTCAGTTTACTGGCACAGCGATAGTGTTACCATGAAGACAGCAACAATTTTTGCATTACATGACACAGAGGAGGAGAAAGTTGAGTTATGTAGAGCCTCTGAGAGGGTTGAAGGACTGTCACGTGCTGGATACTCCGTTGTTGTTTTCTCGAGGATGGGTAGAGTACTCCACTACTGTTTCTCGAGGATGGGAAGAGGCGTAAAATGCTTGGCAGTCGCCGTGTAAAGCCTAGTGCTAGATAGAGGGAGGAAGACTCCTTGCGAGCGGTGTGTGCAACGAACGTTCTCACCCTACCCTTTAGGACTGGTTCGAATCTTCCCCTCCCCCCCCCCCCCTCGTCTTCACGTTCGCCTCGGACTCGTTTTTGCAAACTCTGGAACCCCAGCTGCGCGTGTAACGTCCCCCCATCGCCTTCTCGATTAATGTTGGAACCTCCCTCTCACCCCTCTGCCTTTCATGCTGCATTCTCGAAGACGCGTGGCCTAACAGTTAAGGCTCGCAAAACATTAGTACGCCCCCCCCAGATAGACTAGGGAAGACATTTTTGAGCCACCTTTGGCAAAGTAGGAAAAAACGATTGGACATCGGTGATCGGTCTTGTGGGAACAATGCTCCGTCCTCTCGACGACGCGTGGCCAATGGTCTAACCGCTAAGGCATGCAAAACATGAAGAGTACACACATCCCCCCCGTCTTGACCAACACTTTTTTCCCGCCTCTGAAACCCCAGCTTCGCGTGTATGTAGCGTTCTCTCAAACCCCTTTTCGGATCCTCCTCTCACATCTTCACCCAACACTTTTTTCACGCCAACTCGGGAACTCCCGGGGGGACTGAAAAAAAGGGGTACATGGACAGCCTTCCGGATCCTGTGGTCAGGTACAAGGCCCAGATCGCTAGATCCAAGCAAACCGCCGCGGAGCTGAAGGAACAGCTGGACAAGGTGTCGGCGGCGTTCGCTGAGGCCAAGAAGCAGCTCAAGCAGCGGGCGGAGAACCAGAGGATTGTGGACGCGGCCAAGACCACTGTTGCTGAGCTGGCGGTGAGCGGGGGTGCACCATAGACTGCAGCGTTTAGCCAGGGGGGGGGGGGG